CGTACTCGGTAAAACTCCTCAGTTACTACAGCCAACGCTAGACCGAATCACCCGCTTCGTTGCAACTGTTGGTCTTACAATGTGCGCAAGACGAAGCTCCTGCCTACGTATCTTGGCACAGCACACCCACTGTTTATCAGCGGTCAACCCATTGAAGAAGTTAGCTGCTTCCGCTATTTGGGCTTGAATATGCTAGCCAATGGACAGGCCAAAGACGAAATCAAGAACCGGATCGCGCAAGCTAGAAATGCATTTAGGCTGCTAGCCAGACCACTCTGGTCCCGCTCAGACATCAGCTTACGTACTCAACTGTTGATATACAAAGCATCAATCAGACCGGTGTCAGTATATGCTTGCGAAACATGGCCAGTGAGAAAGGCAGACATCCTATCGCTCGAAGTCTTTGACTGTCAGTGTCTTCGACGACTCTTAAGAGTCTTCTGGCAAGATCGAACGTCCAATGGTGAGCTATACCGCAGATGTTTCAAAATACCAAGTCTAGCATCGTACATCCAGCATCGCCGATTGCAATGGTTTGGCCATATTCTGCGCAGACCATCGACGGACTTCTGCAGATTGGTCGTGAAGCCCTCTCGTAGTGCAAACTTGAGATATCGACAAGGCGGTCAACTGAAGGCATGGCTCAGCACCGTTAAGTCGGGCGTTGAACGGATGGGCCTCGTAACCGTTTACGGCTTGCGACATTGGAACAAACAATGGGTTAATATCTGTGAAGAGCTCGCTTCTGACCTCCGCCAATGGGCCGCCGCTATTCGTGACATCCGTGAAGCCGATTCATGCAACAACAGGAGCTAATCGGATCAAGTACAAGTAAGTAAACGCCTTGGGTACGACCACCAGATCGCCAAGTATGTCAGCCATGTACATTCACCTAGAATCACAGGGAGAAGAGTTCAGATAAGACGTCCTCCACATCATGAAAACCGACAACGGAGACAGCGTAGAAATACCCTAGTTTAGGGTATTTACGTTCCAAGTAAAGTAACTGTTAATCCCACTATTGTCGGCATGAATAGCCATTGTTCTATTTTAATCTTCCATTTGAATTGCACCTGAAAATGTACCACACTGCGCGGAACCTTACGGTACTTAATCGTACAAGTCAAGAGTTCAAAATATTTAAAAATATTTCTAAGAATGTGAGGCTTGACCTACTAGTGGGTGTGGTTAAATTAATACATCAATACACTATTCTCGAAATCCTGAAAATATACTGCTACACCGCGCCCTAGATTTCAGTAAGGAAACATTGATGAGCATGAAATCTCCAGACATACCGGAAGGCGGGTACATCGACAGAGCAAAGGAGGCTCTGAACGAAACACCTTTTCCTAGGAAACGTCGTTTATAAAAGTACGCTTTTAAATAACAGCCGACACGTACTCAGGAATAGATGCGTACCAAATTAGCTAGCAAGCATGAAAGTAAATCATTGCAGTCTTTGATTCAGTAACTAAAAATGAGAAACCAAGCCATTTTTAGAGAAAGTAATATCAGCGGCACTTGTTAACGTTCTTACAAATACAGGCCAACCAGTTGAACGGCAGCCCTCAGGGCATAGCCTATGCGGCAAACCGGGATAGTGCCGCTGGTGTTGCTGCAGTCAAGTCAAAACACTCAAGTCAATACCAGTAGGAAGAGTTCTGTAGTACAAACAACTAAAATCCCAGGATAACGAACTGGTTATGCGGTAGTTAATCACGGATTACGCTACGGGAATAACACATAAACTCAACTGCGTATTAAAGCTTTATAAGTCGAAAAAACTCTACTTCACTTGTCGTTTGCGCAAAAGTTCAAAGGCTTGCAATAGAAGAGAGAATGGACAAAACCCGTTCAGCCTCAGTTTATTTATAAAGAAATTAACTCCTTGGCTTGTCCTTTTTGTGCTTGTACAGGGCTAGTAGTGACACATTCGCCACTTTTACAACCTTGAAGCGGACGCCGGGAATATCACCGACAGCGTGACCCTTACGACCGAAGCCAGCCACCAAAACTTCATCGTTGTCATCAATAAAATTCATGCAACCGTCGTTCGGAACGAAGGCAGTTATTTTCTTCCCATTCTTGAGAAGCTGGACACGGACACACTTTCGGATGGCCGAGTTGGGCTGTTTTGCCTCGACACCAATCTTTTTTTACAAAATTATTCACGGAATAAAAGGAATACCTTTTCAACGACGATTCCCTTGGCGTGCGAAGCACCACCAAATGGGTTAGCCTTCCACCTAGTACCCAAGTGAGCCTTCTTGTACTGTTTGTCAGCCCATCGTTGCTTGCGACGGTGAATGCGAAGTTTCCTGGCAGTGTATATACCTGATGGCTTTCCACGAGTCATCGTCGGGCAGATAAATCCCTACGGGAGCAGGCACTAATAACCAAAGCACGCCGCGTTAATGTGACGAGCCGTTTAAACAAAGTTGGAGTTCAAATCACGGAAGAGATTCAAGTTATCCAGTATTCGGAGGTACATATAGCTCCTTCTTGAGCAGTTTGGTATCCTTCGTCCAGAATCGAGGCGCACACGAAAACTAAGTAAAATCCAGTGTACTTTATCATCAACTTAGGTAAGGGGTGGAGCAGAAATCAATTAAATGAAATATAACGAAACAAATTCTGACAAACGTCTGAGATAAGTTCAAAAACCCTTTATGTGAAATCAAGAGGACACAGAACTAATTGGACTTCGTAATCTCTCAAGATAAAAACGGGATGCAAGCACGTGAGATGTGACTGAAAAGGAATGAAATTGGTTGCGTAATTACTGAGTAAGTGTGACATAAATCAGAAAACCACAGAATGCAAGATGCAAATGTTAGTAAAAAATAAAAACGCAATGACCTCGAAATAGACAAAAAAATAAGAAAGGCGATCTGCAAACAGGAGAAAAATTGCTGTAAATGAATTTTCCATGCGTCAGTACGGCATATTACAACCAGTCTCAGAGATCATCTGTACAAAACTGTGCCTTCGGCAGGTCAGACTGGGTGAGCACATGTTCTCCTTCTTTGTGAGAATTGCCAAATTATGGAATGCTTTTCCCTCAGGTGTTGCTATGTCACCATCCCTGAAAAGCTTTAAAAGGAACATTGAATACTTATGTTACAAATTGGGCTAGATGATGAGGGATGGACCTTAACCCTTGTGACTGTCACACGAACTGCCCTGTTCGATGTCCCTTTGATCTATTGCCATATATATGGTTTGGCTGTACTAAATTTTACGTTGCAGATTGGGTATTTAAGGGCTCATTTCCACTTCCCTCGATAAACTGAACTCCACGGAATCTCATGAAATGCAAGCATGTCCTCTTGCGAACTACTAGATTTGTCAAAAAACATAATGCGTGATGTGAGATTTTTGCAGCAAAGAAGGGGACTATAGAAAATATGCCGAAGCTTCTGTGTAATTGTTCGTGACTTTCGGTGCAGATTCAAATTTTGGTATTCATTCTCCTATACAGTTTTGTGTACACGGCTGTTCAGTCTTTGCCTGGTTT